AAAAGTAAAACTTATTTTTAATGTGTATCATAAGTTCATTATTAATAATTAATCTTATCGACTATTAATATTAATTGAATATGAATTCATAATTAACAGAAAACTTTTTTTTTTAAAATTTTTATTTTGGCAACCAACTTAATTCAAACAAACAAACAAAAAATTCAAAGTGTTTATATTCTTTATTTATTTTATTACCTTAAAGAGTATTCATTCATTTGTATCTTATAAAATGTTAATTAATCAATTCCAAATTATTATATAACTATGTTACATTTACCCAAAATGAATAATGAATATTGATTGAACTCCACTAGTTATAGCTAGTCTTTAGAACTTCAAGAATTGTATTTTAAAGCTAGTTACTAGGTAAGCAGTATAGTTTCATGAAATTCGTAGAACTTTTATAGCTTAAATCACGAACTAATCTTAGCTAGACTACTAATGAAAACCAAGATAACTTCGTGATTTAAACTATGAAGGTTTTACAATCTCTATAAAATCCTATACTGATAATAATTATATGCTCACTAGTGATCGCGCTTAAAATACAATTTCTGGAGTTCTAGTGACAAGTGGAGTTCAATCATATCGGGTGTGAAGTAGCTATTTATCTTCATCAATGGACGTTTCTCGAGAAGTATCAATAATTGATTGAATTGACACACACCGTCGCCCCCAAATGCCCTGGTACTGACGAGAGTGGGGAGAGACATCTCTCCCTCTCGAAATGCTCTCACATCGCCGTGTGCATACAACCACTGCTAGGGAAGTCCTACTCACTACCTTCTCACGGTGGGGGTGTTGTATAAGAAATTGAGAGGACGAAAAGCGAACGTCCGGCACTCTAACCGGGTTGGTCAATACGAAGGATCCACCTAGGGGATTTAGAAAACCCTGATTCCAAACCAATGGTGTACATGGGCTCCAGTATCCTGAGGGAACAAATGGCGTATGAATTAATCGTTGGTCACCCGCTACCATGGGACTGCATCTCCTTGTAGCGTCAGTTATTATGTTAAGCCCATATTCTAGCTTTCGGATAGCCCAATCTATTCATCCTACTTTAGTCATATTTTAACCTTGTTAATTATTCGCTTATACAGTCTTCACGGTTTTTATATGAGCGTATATGTGTGTACATTTTTTATCCCATTACTCATCACGTCTGTAACTTATTTTTGTGTAACTATAAATATTGATTAACGCTTGACTAAAGGGAGTTGGCTTACCCGCCATCTCCACTGCGCTCTATTCCATTCGTTTCATATACAAAATATATCCATTCAAAAGTCCATTCTCGTTATTTGACTTATCTAAATCCGCTATTGACTAACGCGATTAAAGTCGATGATTATATACGAGGATAGGCGACATATATATTTCAATAACAATCATTCATACGATCAACTTGGAGTCAGAAGTCCGGCCACTAAAGTGGAGAGCCCGTCAACAAACATCGTCCGATATAAATGGCGATAAAATTAAGGGCCCCACATCCTTAAGATGCTCCACTGCTTTTTGGATTAGACATTTAGGTCGAAGGCTCCAGGTGTGGCCCTTTAAAAAAACCACCCGTTTCGGTTTGGGTAACCGGGCAATATCACAGCCCTCACAAAAACCAAATGAGATTTGTGTGGCAAATATGTATTTGGTGCCTCCTTGTACCAGTATTTATGTGTTCAAATAAATAAATAAATAAATAACCTTAGTAGCCTAGAGTTCAAGCATTCACTCATTTGGCAAAAGACTTTGGGTTCAATGCTCGGCGGGATCGTTGTCTCGTATTTAAGAGGAGTTCTATACTAGGAAGAAACAGCTGTTCACTGTTTCCCTGTTCTGAATAGTGGTCTAGCTAGGATCAGTTCGTCATTCAAACCATAAAGTTTCTATAAATCGCTCTACAGTTATTAATAAACTTTTGCGAAACTAAACCTTATTGATTAACATAATGAACTTTAAGGCTTACTACATCCAATATGATTCAAACAGTCAACAATTTTGTATTTATTAGGAATTGTTCAACCAAATAAATTGTTAATCATTGATTAGAACACGATGATCCAGTATAGCTAATTCCATAATATAATTATTGTATTTTAGTTACAAATGTGGAAGTACCCAACTGATGAAGATGTGCCTAACTTCTCCATGGTTCACAGTCTGATGTTCAGAATTGTTAAGTTACAAGATGTGACTGTATATTGCATAATTTGCTTTGATACTGACCCGTTTTAACGGAACTAATCATTTATCAAATTACAATTCGTCAATTTCGCACTCTTTCCAATTTGTTATTATTGTTATCGACTTCCTTTTGATAAGTTTAACAGCAAACCATATCTCCATGTATTCAAGCATTTATTGTTATTTTGTATATCTTATATTGTTAATGTGAAGTGATGGGGACTGACACATAAAAAGCAGTGATTACATTACTGTATTTTGAAACATGTTAATTATACTCCATCAACTATCTGGGCTGAATATGTTATTCACTTTGAATTTGTTTACATGATAAATCGCATTTGTACAGCTTACTTATCAAACAAGTTCATTCAACGTTATTCATCTGAAAGGTTGACAGATTATGTAAAATCATGCATTTTAGTTGTGTGTTGCGATTAAAAAGTCCAATAAAAAAATCCACAATAAAAAACGAATAAGGATAATAGAAAACATCTTTTTCAATCCATCGTTGATGGAGTAAAATGATTTAATTGATTTATTTGATTAGAACCAAGAGTCAAAGACTTCTAAACGGTAGAAAGCTCACAAAAACTTAAACAGAAAAAAAATCTACCTAAAGTTTGTGTTGATGGTGTTGTTCACAAGAACGATAGATATCTCACAATTGAACTATTCAACTCAGAGAGCAAAACTCCGAAAAAATCATCTATTAGTCAGAAAGATTACTGTAATGATTCAATATAAACTCTTCAGAAGTCCATGGTACTTATTAAATGTGCTATCGTGTAAATCTATCGAAAAGTTGCTGTTATATCCAAGATACTAAACCTGAATAGTTATTTGACTGGTTTAGGCGTTTTTGTTTTGATGATACTTTACATTACGGGCTGACTTGAACTAGACAATTACTTAGACAGCTGTCTCATTACAGTTGTTCAGTGCTCTCAGTTTTTCAACAGATGTTTTTGGTTTAAGTCGTTTCTTGATACAAAACATCTCCAAACCGTTTTTACTAGTAATAATGATTTGGATTAATCCATTTGAAGCAAAAGTCATTGAATGTAAGTCCTAGTATGAACATCAACACTAGAATCCAGACACGTCGAGCTGACGAGTCCCGAATAAGGCGAAATGTGCGTTCTGGATTCTACTATTACCCATAATCCATATATCTTTACAAAACCCTGATCTAAATTATTTATTTATTTTGGTAATTTATTATTATTTAATGAATTCCATATCTGTTCATGAAACTCATATTTCTAACAGTCGAAAGCACACCAAAATATATCTTGAAAATAAAACACAATCGTTTTTGCGGTTTCGTTCTCTGAGCTGGATGGTTTCCTCGTGGAGCACTCATCATTCTCCTGATGATGTCGTTCGGAAAGACAATGAGAGCGCTATGGTCAAACCATCCAGCTCAGAGAACAGAATCATCCGCCTAAGCTACAAACCTCCACTATTTCAAAACGCAATTATCATTATATTCATGCTTCGTTAGGAGTAGCAAACCAATTGTATATGTAACTGTTCTTCTTTGTCTTCTCTCTCGTTCGCTTATCCAATCAAACTAAATTGCTAATAGATTATTAGTTAACTTAAAGTATTAATCAGGATAAAATTCGCGATCACGAAGTTTTATCGTAGAATATAACTATTTGTCAAAGGATCTTTCAACATGTGAACCTAACGATCAACTCAATTAAGCTCAGCAGTTGCGAAAAAATATCGAAAAGATAAACACATATCTAATTTTTCTATTGGTTGTTTGGATCTTCCCATTGATGTTTGAAACTACAATTGACCAGTCTCGTGTCAGCCACAACTTTACAGCCAGTGACTGCGTGATATAAATAAGTTTTGTAAGATGAGTGGCATGTATTTCAAACTCAATCATTTAGTACGAACAATTTCACATTGTAACATTGTAAACTTTAAATCCACCCTCTAGAGTTGTAGCTCATTAGCGCCACTAGATAACTGAGTTCACAGAGAACCAGTTACCAGACAATTAGAACTGTGAAATGATGAATACCTTCGGCAGTTATGATTTATAGAACACACTATACTGATATTTGTTAAGTGGTTGATCAGCTTTAAAACTATTCTTTGATTTCATTCATGTTGGGATGGCTCCCAGAAAGTGTGACGAAGCCTCCAAAGGCTCTAAAAGAGACAAAGAGATCCAATCTAATCAGAACCCGATAGAACGTTCTAGCATATAAACGTGGCATGCTGTGATTGGACAATAATATAACTTTCTACTTGTGGATTGGCTGGTTTATAATGCTATAGTCTATACTAAAAACTATAAATGCCCCTGTCTTTCTGTACAGTTTTGACACTTACTCAATGACCACTCCTACTGCTTTCTTTCGTTTTTGATTTGCGACTGCGGCGGTTTCTCTGAGTTTGAATACCGACAGCTGTAATCAAGTAGAGAACATAACAATTCAGTTACTAAATACAGGTGCTTTACTCGGATCCAAACCTTATTATTCCATGACTGAGAAACAACGTCACAACCTAGGTAGCCAGAACCGAAGTAGGTGGGATGAGGCTCAAACCTTAGGCCTCGGAGTAGTTCTTTGACAAGAAAAAGCTAATGCACCACAATTGGAAGAACAGCCAGTCAGAGAAGTTTCACCATCAGGGTGGTAACGACAACAACAAATAATTTTTGCGATTTCCGAGGCACATTAATCGTCCGTACACAACAATATAACAACTTTTCATCATGAATCAATATGCACAAGTATATTTTATACGAAATAATAATAATAATACAAGGTTCAAAAGATAATTCATTATTCAATTGATTTCGGATGGTTTGCATATGTCTCAGTGTAGTCGACACTTGTTTCAAGAAGACGTTCACCTATTGGCGTGAAAAGAAGAAGGGAAAAAGCATCGGTAATTTTTGGGCTGCAATATTATGAGTGATCTACGAAGGTAGTCCGATTCACAGTTAGTTTTTATCAATAACTAATGTCATCTAGTGTAATTTTGATAACCATAAAGCAGTTTGGATAATTGTTTTGTGTTAGCTTGATATTCATTGGAAATAAACGATCCCATATGAGATGAGACTCAGAATCCCAAAGTTTCAATTCTTTGGAAATTATCTATAAATTCACACAGTCAAGTATTATTTCTACAATTAGATTTGATAAGTGGGAGAAAAACAACGCAAAAGATAAAAACTTACGGATTAATTCAGCGATAGCACGTTGAGTTCGACGTTCTAATTTACGCAATTTCTTCTCAACACCCCTTTTTAAATCCCAATCAGGTTTACGAGGTGCAAGACTTGCCAAATTCTAAAGAATATATGAAATAAGAGTACAAATTTGCATTGGATGTTAGGAGAAATAAAAAGAGATTATAATCATTGAATTAGTAATTCCCTATGTTTGACTTTTTAAAATTATCATTGATACCACTATTACTATTTCAACTCCACTCATATAGATCTTGTGAGTTTTTTTACACAAACAATGGCAAATGAAACCTCTGCATATTTATGCCAGATCTTATGGTTGCTTATAAATGATGAGAATGAATTTTCAATCAATGTACATTGCCTTCTAACCGCCTTGATTTAAACAGTCAGTTAGCGGCATTGACTGTCGCACACTAGATATGGATTAAATTCTAGCCTAGTTTGAAAAAGTAACTCAATAACCGATTACAAGTTTATACTCTAAAAGCTGTATAAACCACAATTTCTATGTGAAAAATGTAAAGAATAACTGATCGCCTAAGTAGAAATAACCACAATAAACTTCTAAATGGAATATAAATAACCAAATGTGGCAGAATACTCAAGGAAGTAACTAGACTCTGCCTCTTATAGTACACAAACCAATTGTTAGCCGTTATTTCAAGTTTTTGTTTATCTACAGTAGTGTTTGTTAGACACCACAGCTATTTGAATACAATTCATCCAAGATCTCATACTGAAAATTATTATCTGCCCACTAGTTACTAGACTCAGGAGGAAATTTCCGTAATTCTAGTGAGAAACCGTGACCAGTGGAGCTAATCCGTGTCGGGTGCGAGGCAGTTACCTATCAAACACAATTTTTTTATTTAAGCACATAAAAATTGGTACAATAGGACGCCAAGCATATATGCGCCACACTTCATCATTCGATTTGTTTACCGAACACAGTGGAAGATGGTCGTGCAATCTCGTGGATTGATTGATGTTAAACACAAATACTGTTAGATGACGGCTCAGTGGTCTAGAGGATAAGCGTTCTCGTGCGAGACCGAAGGTCCTGGGTTCGGTTCCCGCGTGCGTGATCGTCGGACCGCACTGCTGATGATTCCTAAAAAGGGACGAGATGGCCAATCAGTGCTTCTAGGTATTCAATGGTGGTCCAACTTAGATAGAATCATGATTTCAGTCAAATAAAACTGGTTAGCAGTGGCTTAGTAGGAAAAGATGGCCCACTAAAAGATTACCATTTTAATGATCTCTGTGCATAAATCTTTTTTACCGCGTAATTATTTCAAGGTTAATTTTATAACAGTGCAACGTAAACTGCCTAATTAGGTTCACTACCATCAATCACCTCAGAAAAGCAACCATCAAATAACCATTAATCAACACCAATTGTTACATATTCATCGTAAATTAAGCAACTTACAACTTCATCAACAATAACTGGTGCATCGGCAGCTTCCAGTTGTGCAATGATGTGCTTGTTCACTGCAAAAAAAACAAATATAGTATGGTTAGATGTTCAGTAGAAAACTTTAGACGTTTGTAGATGATGGAAGAATAAATTGAAATGTACATGAGATCTGACTAGCAGTGAAATTCAAAACTCGAGTTTCGTCCTGTTTGAGACTCGTCAGTCGGATGCTCCTGCATCCTAGAGTTGATGACCTAATTCTAACCACATTCCATCTATTCTATGAGCAAAGATGGACGGTGGCTAGCAGTGGAATCTAGGACACACGTTTAGTCCTATTCAGGACTCATCAGCTGAATGTACCTATATCACCGAGTTGATGTTCACTCCAAAACTTGAACCTAGTACCGTTCGCTTCAAACGCCATCGCGTTATCCATTTAACTATTGAATTGAAACGCACTTCCTGAATCCCACTACTAGCCACTAATCATCTCTGCTTATGTTTGTTACTTAATAGCAGTTTCGAGGTAATCCTCACAGGATGCAAATATGCCAATAAAAAACTGATCAATTACAGTTTTAAATATCAATAAGAATGTCCAAACAATCAATACAAAAATAAATGTTATAACGGTTATTATTATTACTATTGAAACAATCCACACAGAATGAACATAGATCCTGATTATGACTAACCAAATATTAACAACAGGATAATTCAAACCATTACAAATTAGATTGAAATTTAATTATCTTTTTTCTATTCTGAAATACTAATGAGTTATGTTAGAAAAATGATTCGAAGAAGTGAATTTAAATGTTTACAAAACTTTTTTATTTACTTTGGAATTCAATATAGTAATTGAATAAGAAACTGATAAGTCATTTGTTATAACGATAGGTTTTCCATATTTACACGTATGGGACGTTAATTTACCTTAGACGAATATCTACACTAGATTCCCTGCCGGTGTCTATTCTATACGACTTCAACACAACTCAGATCAAGAACACGTGATTAGCCTGACTAGAACATAAATATAGTTCCACACAAAACCCCGACACAATACAACAACAATGAACAATCAATGATAACTCATCTGACATCTATCAGACTATCTACATGTCTAACTAAGCAAACAACCTATCATTATCATTTTCGTTCACACATCATCATTACAATTATTTATTGGATGGAGGATTATTATCATTAACACAACCGATAATATCCTAAATTAATTTAATTATCAATTACAAGTTTTGTGAAGTAATTATAAGCAATAATTACTATAGTGTATATTATCAAACTTTACAAATTATTTCTAGGAATGAAGGGAATATCTAACAGATGATAAAATATATTCAAACGCAAATGAATTCTTTTTAATTGTGGATACATTCGTTTTATTTTATAAAAAATATCAACAATCCCCATTGTGTATCATCAGGCTTTGCTTTAATACACAGTAACATATATGAGAAATATTAACTCAGTCAAAACGATTTGTATGTCAATGATAATAATGGTCAATCTGCAAATGTTACATGTTCAGCATGAATCTGAAAACAGTTTGTCGATCCGAAAGTTTCCATGTGAATTATCAATTTTCATCGTTACAAGATTTACTGCGAAACGATTTCTACACATTAGATTGTAAATATTGTTCACTGAAAAGATGGGACTGTAATACTGTGATTCAAATGGTAGTGAGGACATGCCTGAGTCTCTTCAGTGCACAACTAAACGTTTATCGCTGCGATTAACTTGTTGAAAGTGGAGTGTTCCGACCAACATAACACTTCCACTAACAACTTATAGATACACACAAAAAGAGAAACAGAGAGATGGACAGTCAGACTCAGAAGTTTTATCCAGGTACTGATCAGTATGTGCAGTACCTAGAAATAATTTAGGTGGATGATGATAGTAAGTAGAAAACCCTCCTCAACCTACGTTTCTTGGCAGTTGAAACTCGTCAGTAAGGCGTATCTGGGAAAACTGATCTAGAACCTGAGTCAATCAGCTCCATAGTCTGAGACATAACTACTGAGCTATTTAGACCGTGACTACCTGTAGGAAAGAAACATTTGAAAATTAATTTATCACTGAGTAGTAGTGACTGTCATATTTTTTTAGTCCTTTAGTGCTGATCAAATTTGATGAGTCAAGTTCTTTTTTGGCTAATAGTCCTAAAGCACTGGACAAAAATTACTTTGATCACTATTTAATAAATAAACTGATTGAAAACTTAATTTAGATTATTCTTATCTTCTTAAGAGATAAACAATTTCCAGGTACTTACGATCTACCGGTTTACCAGCAGGCAATTCACCATCTTTTAATTCTTCTGACTGTGGTTTGTAATTTCGAAATATCGGTTTGGGTAATTCTCCATTATCGCTATTGTTTAAGTGTATAATACTTTTATGTGATGCATTTTTCATACGTAATTGCTTTAGACGTTCTTTACGCCTTAAGGCTTCATCACGCATATGTCCTATGGATTGATCTGTTTCATGATTATCACTAGTCGTGTTTTCTTTATTTTCTGACAAAACTAATTCATCACTTCCATGTTCTGGTTCTTGATCAATATTGTCAAGTGTAGTCATCTAGTCTAAAATATTAACACAGCGAAAGTTTGATCAAAAATGCTACCAATCAAATTTAAAAACGATAATTTTAATGAAATAACAAAATGTTTGAAATGGTTAGCAGCAAGTTTGAGTTCCCTGAATGAAGAACACTTTAACAGTGATTGGAATCCTAGAAAGTTTATCGGAATCCCAATTATGCCGAAAAACAACTAATAATTATAAAGACATGGCCAAAATACTGCAGAAGCTCAACTATCGACTAGTCTATGTGATGACTAAAAACCTTTCGGTTTATCGGCAGTTAAAATGTATATACATGGTATACAATTTTCGGCAGTCGCTGAAAAACTGAAATGAATTTGTTTTTTTTTCTTGTGGTAAAACACTAATTAAATATTAACCATCCCTATAGCAGCTGCTACCATGATGTGGTGGTTGGACTTGGATATTGTGATGATCTGGTTGAGTTATAATGGATGAAATATTAGTTCTCTTAGGTTCTACCATGTTAGGCGATTTGTTTAGGGAATGACCAGACTAAAAACAGTAACTTGGTGTCTGAAGGAGGGGACATACTGCTAGCTACAATAGAGAGTACTTACCGAAGACCAAAACCCATCCATTGAAATGTTTCAAACCAAGTTAACTCATGAAATTTACATGATTATCCGAACCTATGTTCATGAAAATTTCCGAACTAGACAGAATGTAACGGAATCAACCAACTATTATCATCATACAAAGAAAAAATTATGTTTTTACAATAATTAAAACAAATCTATGGATTTTAATCAATTTTACTGGGTTTTTTCTACAAACGGTGTGCGAATGAAATAAAAGTTTGACCGGAAATGAGAAGTCCAATTGGAAAAGAAGAGTGAGAAATGAATACACACACAAAGTAGACGAAATGATTAATATACACTGAAAGGAAACAGAATTCCTCGCTATTGTGGCGTCGTTCTCATTCTCGAATAATATTAATAATAAGAATGAAGCTAATTTGGCTTAGAATAACAGAAACAAAAACTAATTAAAGCTGTTTGATTATCCTAATCTTTTAAGACTCTATTATTACAAGCTGAGCAGCAAAAAGAGAAATCAAGATGTCTGTAGAAGAAAACACAAAGAAGGAGGAAGGCACGACAAAATAAACAGAGAATATTGAGGAGAAAAGCACATAATTTTCAAGCATTATCATTAACAACAATGATAAAACTATTTACACAAACTACTTCCAGTGATTTTGAAGTAGTATGTCAAAAACAAATAATAATAATATTTTTGAAGTTTTTTTCACTACTGAAAATAGAATCATAGAATGATTGGAAAACAGTCAAAAAAGGCATCACATCAAATGGAGACAAAATAAAACATCCATAACACCAAAAAATATCATACTAAGAGAAATGAAGGGATTTCACCGGGATGTATAAAAATAGATATATATATGTACATAAGAATACATCAGCGAGCTGAAAAAAACAGGATTGAAAACTGAATGAAAATAAACTGACGTTTAATCTCTTTAATGTTTAGAAAGACCAGCGCTGGATATCAATCAGTCCAGTGTAAATGGTTGTAGGCGTGTTACTGTTGAATTATTTTCATATTGACAATGATCATTTAATAAAATATTTGTGCTGTAAAGGATGCCATTATTAATACTACTAGTAGTACACAACAGATCTGAGGTTAAATATTTACATGTTTCATAATGTCCGGTGGGAAGGAGTGAAGAATAAGAGATAGGAGGAGGGGAAGCAAATTTATACATTTTTTCAGATAGAAAAGATTTAGTTTCATCGATTCTTTAAAATGTAACGAGTAAAATTAGCTTAAGTTGCTTGTAAATTAAGAAAAAAACATAAAGAAAAGTACACCAAAAAGGACAATACAGAAAAAACATGTATACAAAAAAGGGCGCTTAAAAATTACACGCGATTATTTATAATTAAAAGCCGAAAAAGTTGTCCATTGAACATATACACACATACATAGTACAGAAATATATTCAACAAGAAAAAAGAGAAGACAGAAAAAAACGCTTCAAAAATTTGTTTACATACACTTTCTTTAAAATGTAACCATAAGTACAATACAAATACTAAGGAGGCTGATGATCATTTCATATTAGAAACAGAAGATAATAACTTTTGATATTCTGTTGATTGCTCTTCGTTAACTATTGTTTTACTCTGTTGATTTGGTTGAATTGGTTTTAAATATTCTGTACTATCACACTGTATCTGATCTTCTGTTCGATTTAATATATCATTAAAGCATAATGTTTGATTTTTTCTTTTACATTGTAATATTTCACTATTGATCTTATTAGATCTATGATCTGTAAGTGTAGAGAAATTAATATTCATAGAATAGGGTAGACAAATTGTCGGTGGACATCCAGTACTACCACGAGTTAGTATAGTATTACTCTTATCATTATTACCATTATTAATGTTATCGGTAGTAGTAGTACTTAGAACATCTGAGCAATTGTAGACACCAATATCCTCCTTCCTAGAATAATTCATTAAAGATGTAGTAGTGTATCTACCATTGCATAAATCTTCAGAAACGTCCATCAATGTGGTCGTAGTAACAGCAGCAGTAGTAGTAGTACTGGTAGTAATACATGGAGAATAGTAACAGTAGTAGTATGGTGGTGGTGGATTACAATCTGTTTTCTGACTGTTAGTAAGATAATTACTCATCACTGTGTTATTATCATTATTATTATCCTTCTCGTTAATGCCATTACTATCATTATTATTACTGTTATTAATATAGCTATCATTGTATTGTTGATTAATAACAGATAGACGGAGCAATGTAGTCAAACGTTTAGTTACACAACCAGCTGAAAGACGTGCTTCTGCATCTTGGTCCCAGCATTCTTCAATTGTTTCCCACAATGTGCATAAACCCTAAAAGAATGTAACAAAAAGGAGTAAATAGACAAACTGAGAGCTTTGTACTCTTCTAATTTTTTCTTTAAAAAAAGACTATGGTGTTAAGTAAGTGAATGAAATAACGACATTGAATTTTAGTCTACTTGTGGATGAGGTCTCGATGTGATTGGTTGGTTTTAATATATTAATTTGCTAACCTTGTCAAAGTATATTGACTGAAGACTTTTTGATGTCTTTCGAACCCAAGAAATAAGACTAGGAGGTGATAAAACTAAAAATCAAGTAGTATTGACCAATATGAAATGTACCGTTGTTTGCATAAACGTGTTTCAGCACTTTTCATGATCATTCAGTCTTACTCTTGGTTGAAGGATAAAGTAAATAATAAACTTTGAACTTAAGGAGTTCCATTGCCAACAATGAAATTGGTGCGATTAATGGATCTAACATTAAAGATTGAAATCAATATGATGAATGTTACTTTATTAAAAATTTCATTTCAATCAGTTGGAGTTATTTTGAACTGTCTGATATGAATGTTAAACACAGTGTAAAGGAGGCAGTTATTCTAGAATGACGAGACACGAATGTAGTGGAAAATCGTAATTTGAAAAAGAATTTCTAATATACTGTACTCATCTGCTAAAAATGAATGGAAACAATGACCGGAAATTCTAGATACAGTCAACTCACTGGACATACAAAAAATTGTAGACCATTGAATGATTTATATGTTTAAAGAAAGAGAAAAATATTTTTGGTAGATATTTTGATTGGTATTATATAAATATGATCATTAACCAAATAGGGGCTTGTAATATATATTGAGTTCTGAGTTACACTTCAGTTGTATGACAATTTAATGATTCTCTGTCTATCTCATCTGAAATAGGCGAAGCTGGATTTAAATCTAAAAGCCACCAGCTGAGATCTGAATACTTCAGAAAATTAAGTCACTGTTTCACTTTAACAAGTAGATATGTAGAATGTAATGAATACCTGGAAAAGTATCAATCTTTATGAAGCATGAATTAACTGACAGATTATAGGTGAAATAACACAATAAGTACTTACCTAATTTACGCTTTCGACTTATTACAGTAATAGGATATTTAACACTAATGATATGTTCACTCACTCTACGCTATAATACATAAAATTATATTTCTAAGTCCTACTGATTAAAATTTTACCAAAGTATTTGATGACGCCAAAATGAGATAGATATGACTACAAAATAAAATCAATGGTTTAGTGAATTTTTTTCGTAAATAATTCTCTAATTGGTGTCAGATTGTCATTTAGAAAAAATTTAAAAACTGGTGAACAAACATAAAAGCATAGAAATTCGCCGACTAAGATAGTTCAAAAACAATTTCAATATTTTACACTGTATACAACCTAAATTCACTTAGATTTGTTTAAAGTTGGAATATATATCACAAGAAATTGTGTCTATGAGATCAAAACACATGTAAAGTGTGTATAATACTCTGATAGATGAAACTGTTACTGCCTAGTATTGTAATAATGAACATCATAACTGATGGTTGAAGTCAGCCAATAACAACCGGAACATGGAACCTGTCATATATGTGCATCGGTCTAAGTTGCCACAAAATATCTGCCGACAGATGAAAATATTAGAACAAATATCAGGGTAATAGGAATTAGAAACAGTATCAGTAGAAGACATTAGGCATAAACAATACGAATTCGTGAAATAAAAACTGTAAGAAAATTTTAAAACTTAAAACTTAAGGAAAGGAAAAAGATTGAATGTATCTGAGCAATTACGAATGATTCTGAACCATTTCATTCAATTTTTCCAACCCCTAATCCTGTTTATTTCGGTAACTAAGTGTAAGCAGAATAAATGAGGTATTATGAAAGTTATTAGAGAGGGAAATTCAACCAGTCATTTGACTTTTCAAGCTATCACGTTGCATATTAAAATTAATGCTCTACCTAACACCAAGCATTTTATGTGCATCGTTATACATATATATATATATATATATATATATATATATATATATATATATATATATATATATAACGATGCACATAAAATGCTTGGTGTTAGGTAGAGCATATATATATATATGGGGTACCTCAAAAGTGCCCATTTACGACCCCGCAACGTGGAATCTAGATCAGGGGGTCCGGTTTCGTGCGTGAACAATTAACCTCTAAACCACTGAGCCATCATCCACCAGTGCTAGTGTTTAACTTCAGTCTATTCAAAATAGTGCGCGACTATCTTTCAATGTCCGATGTGGACAACTGTTTTACACCCGACATGGTTGAACTCCACCT